TAAATAAAAAGAATAACATTTTATAAGTTTTTTTTTTTAATAGAAAAGTGGTCCGAATGGTCCTCAAAACATCGAAATATATTCCTTTATCAATAATTAAAAAAATATAATTCTTACGCAACATGGTGCAAAACAGGAGTATCATACACGTGTGAAATTTTGAATTGATTGGAACAGTCTTCCGGTACATACCTCGCCTGCATGCCATTCCCATTCCCCAATGGAAAGGCAGTATTCCCAAGAACCCCACCGCAATTCATCTTTTTCCCAACCATCATTATTATGTTTTTCACTTTTGTAGCACTACTACTTATGGTTAATCTAATTTATATTTGAACCGAAATTTTAGGCTTAATGGTTCATCCGTAATCTTTAATACATTGATTTAATTAGTAAGAGTTTAATTCTTATCAATTATTTTAAAAATATATATTTTTTAACTTATACTTTTAAGATATAAATTAAAAATATTTTTTGTATTAAATATATATAGATGAATATAAAAATTAATATTAATTTTGATATTAGATAAATTTAATTTAATAATTTATAAATTAAAAATTAATTTTTATTTTTTAATATAAATTTATGATAAAAAAATATGGTTTAATACACTGTTAATGTGTGTCTTAGACAAACCTTTAAAAAAAATCTTTTCCATAATTCTCCATGTTTAAAAAAATTAATTTATATTTTAAATTTTAAGCACATAAATTAATATGATATTAATTTAAAAAAAGTATTTTACATATTAACTTAAATTATAAAATATTTATTAGTGATGGGGTTAAATTTTTTAATATTTGAAGTTTTTTTATAAAATAACTCTTATTTTATTGTTTAGAATAATCTGAATTGTAAAATATAATTTTCATATTCATGCTATTTTCATTAATTTATGTATAAAAAATAAAAATTCGTTATGTTTTTAACATTAGTTAATACATGTAATTTTAATTAGTTAATTCATAGAATTAAAATTAATTTATCTCTTTTTGTTAAAGTCAAAAATTTTAAATTTAAATCATATAATATGTAAATAAAATGAAATAAAAAATAAAAAAAATAATTGACGATGAAAAAAAATAAATAAATTATACAGTTACACGACCCGCCCAGGAAACTAATTTCAAACCCTCAAGAAAACAAAAAGCGCCATCACCGCAGTCCCAACATGATTATGAATGTCACAACCACCGCAATCTTGCCACGTAATCAAATAATTGTGCTGTAGACAAATTTATACGCGGGGCGGGCGGCGAGTCCATTGCTTTAATTGTGCTGGAATGTTTTTATTGGAATGGAAAACGTAGTTGTTAAAGACTGCCTTTTTTAGTTAGTTCGCGTCGATATCTCCAATAAATACATTTATACCCTTTGAATTTATTTTTGTCATGTAAAGAATAAATGTTTTAGAATAGATATTTATTTATATAAAAATTTTATTTTTTTT